ACCACTTGGTTGACAGGAGCTGGGAAAAGCGACAGGCGCTCACTCCATCACATGGATTCGATCTAACAGCTGAAGATCTACAGACCTTACAGCACAGAGGCTTCTGCAGTTTAACCCGCAGCGCCACGACGTCCCTAACTTTGTCTAGATCTTGCCAATGTGTCCATACTGTTGCTAAAATATAGTATGGTCATTGTAACCCACAAATGCTTACCAAGGTGCTGCTCTCCTATGGTTCCATTCCATAATTAAATACATTTCCCTAAGTATTTTCCCCACTCATTGCTGCCTCCCCGATCTATGCCCTTCTCTGTGTGTGTGTGTATATGTGTGTGTGTGGTGTAGACAAAGATCCTGCCTTTCTTTCCTCCCCTTATCCTTTCAGCTCCTCTGCAAATAGTTTGCTCAGGTACCGCAGACTTTTGCAGAGTGGCCTGAATTTCAGAACCCTCTGAGCCATGAGTTTGTCTCTTTTGAGTTTCTCCATTTTTGTTGTAAACTTTAGTGCAGAATTTCTGCATTTGTTTTAATTCTTTTGTGTTCAGTAAAACTCCCCTTATGGATAGCTGTGTGATATACTCAGCCAAATCTGTGTCGAGATGTGCCATTGCCATGGTTCAAAGATTGTTTGCAGATATGTCTTCAAACGTGTGGATTCATGCATGGGCTTTGAGAGTATACCTGGTAGCAACACTACTTACAGAACAGAGATATTTAGAAATAACTAGGGAGATCATGAAGGAATGGATTTCACCAGTTATGGATCAAGGGGTGGTACTGGCACATTTCATTCAATGCGGTCCCTATGTTGCTGAGAAAGTGTGGCATAAAATGACAGGAACAACAGCTGTGTGAGGACAGCCCTTTGTTAGGTAACCACAGCATAACCCAGAACCGCTGAATCTTAAAGTACTCTCCCAACAATTACTAAATGCAAGCCAACTAATTCCTTTGATTCCTATGTCGGCTTTAAAAGCTTTCCAAAGTTCTAATTTTAGGAACACTGTGTAAAAATTATAGCATCGTTCCAAAAAAGGCCAACCATGTTGGTGAGGGAAGAATTTAATCCATGGCAACACAATGCTTTTCCACAGGTCTTGCATCAGGAAAGGAGAACTCTCAGGTGTTATTACAAACCAGAGTCATTATCAGAACTTTTAAAAAAACTGAATTCCACATGATATATGTTTCTTTTAAATATGTGACAGTGGGGTGACAATTGCATCTTTCCTTCTTAGTGGCCAAGCTAGCTGGCTTCCTGGCACAGCAAGTGTGGCTGCTTTCACACCCTGAGCATGTCTGTGGCCTCCCTGTGAGCCACTTGTTCTCCACTGTGGGAACAGAATGCTGGGACTAGCACAGCCTTTGGCAGAGCATCACCTGTCATGATGGGAGACTGTGTTCCTTAGGGAATGTACTCTGTGTAAGCTGTGAGTAAAAATAGTCTCCTAGTAACCTCACCAGAGGCCAGTTGGCACAGTTCAGGGCTCCTCCACAGCAAGAAAACTGGCTGTCTACAGAAGCGCTATCATTTGAAGGACATAACACACAAATCCATGTAACTCTGTATACTGCTAGAGCCTCCAAGACACAATTTTCAAATCATCACAGCATGGGAAGGGATTTGTTGACACTGAGGCTGGGCAGTAATCTAAAGACATGCCTGGATGTTTGTTTACTTGCTAGTTTATATTCGTTGTATGCCACCTTTCTTCCATAGGGGACCCAGGGCAGCTCACAATAATTGAAACTGTACAATGATGACAGGTTTAAAATACTATACAAAACCTATATTTCAAAAACAATATTAATCAAGATTTAAATCAAGATTTAAAACCATTTACAAATTTAAAATATCTAAACTTCATCAATACAACATTCCATAGTCCCACATTTATTGCTGAAAACCCACCTGAAATTGTGGTTTTAGCCCACCCCCAAAAGCTAGGATATTGTAGTTTCCTGAGGGGCACTCTGTATGGAGCATTATGGGCAGAGAAGCTACAATACTCTGCTTTAAGTGCCCCACAGGTTATCCCCACCCAGCCAGTTCCTCTGCCTTGGAACTCAGAAACAGAGCAATCTTTTCTCATTTATGCATGAGCTGTAGGTTATATCAGATATCTGAGATGGCTTCTGGGGGTCTACAGCCTCCTGCATTCTAGCTGGGGAAATTCTCTGTTCAAAAAAAAAGAAAAAGAAACCCTCATCCCTGATGTGCAGTATAAAAATATAGTGAATTAATAAATACATTCCATATGCTACTACAGAAATGCACGTGCCTTAAGATGGCTTGGATCCATGTCAAAAGAGAACACAGGGTAAAATAACCCTGAATTAAACTACTCCATCTTAATTGGACTATAATGATGGCCAACCTGGGGCTGAATAAAATACGTAAACTAACATAACGGTAAATGTTTCTGTAAGACGATATTGTGCTTGTAAGAAAAACGTGCAGCACACCATAAATAAAGTGAATTCCAGATTTTCATTACACATTACTTTAGATATTTCTGTATTAAAGGTCCATTTTTATAGGCATTTAAAAACAGGATAATGGTAATGAGTCATACGTTTGCACAGCTATTATGTAATCTAGAATGGGAGTGTGCTTTACTCTATTTGGACAAGATACTTTTCCACTTGGATCTCTGGCTGTATCCACCATACATTCCATAGGATGAATAGATTAAGCAAACATTGCTGAACACATTGCTTGCGGAAGGGCGAAGTGTGTTTCAGCATCAGGCCTGCAACAATGTTTCTAATTCTCATTCTAATTTTTGATCCTGGCCCACAGAAAAAGAAATTTTACAGGAATGGCACCACAGCTGAAAAATCTGTCTCTTGTAATCTGATAGTTCTTACTGACCTTGATATTAAAAATCTAGAAAAGTTAACAGAGGTTTACATTCATACATCAATAACCAGGCACAAACATTTAGCGGTGGTTCCCAACCTTGGGTAACCCAGATGTTCTTTGACTGTAGCTCCCAGAAACCCTGGCCAGTACAGCCAGTGGTGAAGGCTTCTGGGAACTGCAGTCCAAGAATACATAAGTTACCTAAGGTTGGGAACCACTGATTTAGAGCAATGACAATCACCAATAAAATTGGGCTTGGAAACAAACAGGTGACCAGTGTAACTAGGCAGAACGTAAGAACACAGTTCATAATTTTTGAAGAATTTCATGCATTTTCTTTAAGACAGGAAATGATGAAGTCCCTCCTTGCCTTTTTCATCACCACTGCCCTTCCTGTAGTTAAAAGTGGCATTAAAACATGAAATATTATATAGAGTCTGGCTCATATCACAGATTGACAACCATAAATCTACCAGATGACCTTAGGAAAGTAATTGTGTTTTGTTTGCTTCCACTCCTTCTTCACCCTACCACTTCCAACCTTTGACAAAAGGATAATGACTTGCCTTACTCAATCGTTTTTTAGGGATTATTATTGAGATAGGCAATCCTCAAATGGGCTTTTCATCACTTTTTTTTTTGCCCTGAACTACATTACAGTGATCGTTTCTAACAACAACAATAAAAACCACATCAAATACAGCATTCTAGTGGATGGCTAGATGTGCATCAAATTGGCTTTGTCCCTGTTTGTATTGATTCTGTCAAGATATCTTGTAGCACCAGTGTCCCCCACATCAACTGCTTTCAATGCCTTACATCAGATAAAACCATGTAGCATATATGCAGGTTTTTACACTCACTGTTCTCCAAAGAATGGATCAGGACTGGATCTTTTTTTGCATCTCAGAATTTGCTTCTCTGCATAGAAATTTTCCTGCATAACATTTAAGTGAAATTGCATTTTCTTCCTTCTTGTACAGCATACAAGCCTTATACAAGGCTTGTATAGGAACATTTTTTTCTGTTTGTAAGAGACAAACCACATCATCTGTTTTTTATAATAAACACACTGACCAAACTGGTTTATATTTTTAAATCTCAAGATTTCTAACCCATCAGCTCAGTAAGAACAGAGTAAAACTATGCACACTTACAGAATTGCTGAAAACGTTTGATCTCTCTAACAACTTAGACAAGCAAGTAAATCCTTAAGGGAAGGATTAAAATGGATATGGAACATTTTAAAGCAATTAAATGCTACTACATGTGACTTACGGATCAGAATAGTCTTTTTTAAATAGATTGCTCTACTGATCTTGCATTTGGAGAGTCTTATTGTATAAGACTCTACCAACACAAATATTTAATTTCCCGTATGACACAAAATTCAGTTTGGGTTAATTCTCCATTCTGCTTGCCAAAGTGGCTGTTAAAAACCTAATTCATACAACAGTCTTTTAACTTCTTTATTATGTTTCCATGAAAGTGACTCCATTAAACTATCTTATATTTAATCCTCCCAAATGTTGTGATATTTGATAATGATGTTGGCTTGATAGTACTTTAAGACTGCAATCGTCACATACATCATTTCTGGTATTACTCTGATGAAAAGGCTTTACACTGTGTGGTGTGGATATTTGGGGCTTGGTCTGAATATTACTTTAAACTTCACAATTTCCTGTTCATTACCTCTGTACTTATATAAGGCCAGGGCAGGCTGTCTTGCTGGCTGAGAAGTTCAAATTACTTTGTGAAGAACTCAGAATGATGAATTCACAACTGCTGAATACCGAATTATAAAGCCATCAGAACATTTTTTATCCCTAACCTTTGACTGCATTGTGAAGTTTGAATGATATGAAAACAACAATTTTTCTGCATTGACATTTACTGAAAATCTCATTTATTGATAATATCATTTTTACTGAAAGTCATTCTGGACATTGCATATACAGCTTGAACACCATTAATGTGAGCTCAGAAATATAACATGAAGTTTTAAATTGAATTGTTAGACAGATGAAATGCAAAAACAGCCTATTAGAAACTTAACATTTTATACTTAAACTTTTCTCTATGACCAAGTCAGCATAGATCGCGAACTGTACAGAAAAGTTCTGCATGCTGGTTGGAGGCTTCGCTGATCTGGAAGAGAAAGGCAAGCAGACTGTTCTTATTTGTGAACAGGGTTCTGGGTAGAACCACAGATACAATGCTAATCATTGCATAATCCAGAGAGGCTACATGAGGATAAGGGAAACCATTCCTTCCAGCCATTGTTACAAGGCAGCCAGTATGGTGTCATGATTGGGCTGGGATTAAAGTGACCTGAGATCAAACCTCTCTTTGGCCATGAACCTCAATGGGTGACTGTGGGTCAGTCACAACCTCTCGCCGTCACCTCCTCACAAGGTCATTGTGAGGGTCAGCTGGAGAGGACGGAGAGCCATGCATGAAGTCTGTAGAAGAAAGGCGAGAAATGAGTATCACAAATAATAATAATTGTGGTAGGATCTGATATTGCACAAAGCAGTTCCCACATAGCCAACCGGGTCCAAGCATCTCAGTGGCTGCTACACCTCAGCAGCAGCTGTCTACCAGTGGGCAGTCCTGAGACATTGGTTTGGTGCTTATCATTGCACTCCAATCTTACAAAGACATATAAAGTGAGCTCCACTGATGTTGAGTATCTCCATCAAATATAATAAAAAAGGGGAAAAATTTAGTTCATCATGAGCTTTTACAGCTACAGTCCACTTCCTCAGATGTGAAGCATCACAGGCCACAGCTTCATAAACACAGGGTATATGCTGGTGGCACAGGAAGTGTGAGATGAGGGGAAAAAAGGTGTGTCGCCACCATCACAATGGCCCTAGCCACACCAGTAATGACCAGGCACAACCCATTGGCTATATAATCCCTACTTTAAAGTGACACAATTCTTATGTGCTGAAACAGACTTAACACAGCTACCGCTCTGAAAAGGGATCTTGAGGGAAATTACTTTGGGGAGGAAAAAAAAAGATTTAATTCGATAATAATTCTGCCCTGCTGAAATTATCTGAATTTTACAGATGGAGGGTCAAGTCTTCCTTGAACCATGACTTACTAAGCCACCTTGGACCTGACCTACCTCTTAAGAAGAAACAGGGAGGGTGAACACCTGGTACACCACCTTTAGGTCACAGAGGTAAATAGGGATAGAAATGTAACCGATAAATAACTCAGTGTAAAGCGCTGTTCGTTTTTGCTAGCTCCTACATACAAACACCGTTTACCTTGGGGGGGGGAGTGCACGCTTACAGACAGAGCTATTCCTCCTCCCCCCTCTCCCTAATCCGGCACCCTTCACATGTCCTTTCTGTCTGTGAGCAAGCCAGCCAGACCCGATTCTCGCTCGCTCGCTCTCGCTTGCTCTGCAGACTTTTGGATTTGGGATCCAGATCTCAGGATTTTGCCTGATACGCTTGCACAGTCTTGACACGGCCACCTCCGGTCCTTGTTTCCTGCGCCCGCTTCCGCCTTTTTCTCCTGCCTTCCATTCAACAGTGGAAGCCACGGACGACTCCGCCGCGAGGGCGCTCAGGAACCTTTGCTTTGCCTTCCTGGTTTGAAGGACTGAAGAGGTAAGAAAGTAGCGCCCCACATCCACCCACAGTTGCGGTTTCCGCGCGCTAGCTGCGGTGCTGCAGAAATTCAGGGGGGCGAAAAAACGGCGCTGCCGTCCAGAGAACAAGAGGTCACTGGGGCGTCTTCCTTTTCGTCCCCAGAAGGGCAAAGAGGAGGCAGACAGCTCGGTTTCCCGGAGTGGGGTGTAAATTATAAATTCCCCGCCCGGTTGAGTTGCTTTGTGGCGCCAGAGAAAGCAGGAAGTTTTAAGGCGAGCGTCGGAAACCTTGTGCCCTCCAGATAATTTTTGGACTACAGCTCCCACAATCCTTTAGCATTGGCTGTGCTGGATAGGAGAGGTGAGAACTGTAGGCTAAAATATCTGGAGGGACGGAAGTTTTCCAGACCTGCTCCAGCTGGCCTTCTGAACAGAGAAGCCATAAATAAAAGCCTCGGCTGAGGCATCCAAATAGACTTTTTGGAGCCTGTACAACTCTACTCCATATATAGACGTAGCTGTGAGAAGAAGTGTGGAAGTGTGACAGAATCATGTGGCTGTGGTGGATTACAAGTAGCACCTGCAATGAAATATTGCAGCGTTGTTGTTTAGTCGTTATCAAGAATAGTTACTGTATCAAGTTATCAAGAATAGATGGCAAGACTGGCATCCTTACGTTCATCATCAGTAAGTAAGATGGCATTTGAACATCAGTGCTTGAAAATGTTGCCATTTTGGATTTGTTGATGATGTTTAGTCGTTAAGTGGCTCCGACTCTTCATGACCCCAAGGACCAGAGCACGCCAGGCCCTCTTGTCTTCCACTGCCTTCCAGAGTTTGGTCAAATTCATATTGGTAGCTTCAGTGATGCTGTCCACCATCTCATCCTCTGTCGTCCCTTTCTCCTTTTGCCTTCACACTTTCCCAACATCAGGGTTTTTTCCAGGGAGTCACCCCTTCTCATGAGATGGCCAAAGTATTGGAGCCTCAGCTTCAGGATCTGTCCTTCCAGTGAGCACTCAGGGCTGATTTCCTTCAAAATGGGTAGGTTTGCTCTCTTTGCAGTCTGGGGGACTCAAGAGTCTCCATCAGCACCACAATTCAAAAATATCAATTCTTTGGCGGTCCGCCTTCTTTATGGTCCAGCTCTCACTTCCATACATCACTACTGGAAAAACCATAGCTCTGACTATGCGGACCTTTGTTGGCAAGGTGACGTTTCTGCTTTTTAAGGTGCTGTCTAGGTTTGTCATCGCTTTCCTCCCCAGAAGCAGGCGTCTTTTAATTTCGTGGCTACTGTCACCATCTGCAGTGATCATGGAGCCCAAGAAAGTAAAATCTGTCACTGCCTCCATATCTTCCCCTTCTATTTGCCAGGAGGTGATGGGACCAGTGGCAGAGTGGAGCACAGTTATTGAGGGTGCCAGCTACACCTTTTTTAAGAACACTACAGTATTCCATTGTTCCTATTCCTTCCCCAAGAGTAACTGGGCAACAGTATATTTTTAAAATCCTAAATATATACAGTATTCCTCTTCTTTGAACCATGAGGTTCCTGAAAACCTGCTGATACCTCCTGCATGTGGCTGGTGCATATTTGATTACTTAGAAACACACATTGTGAGAATGCATTTGTTATTAGTATGATCATGATGGATCAGTCACTTTATATGCTTTAAAGCAGTGGTTCTTAACCTTTGTTACTCAGGTGTTTTTGAACTGCAACTCCCAGAAATCCCAGCCAGCAGAGGTGATGGTGAAGGCTTCTGGGAGTTGCAGTCCAAAAACATCTGAGTAACAAAGGTTAAGAACCAGTGCTTTAAAGCATGCCCATTTTGAAAGACCAAGGGTTACTAATCATGTTGGCTATATAGGATAGTATGTTTCACTATACAAGCTGCTGGGGAAGGTGACCAGAGGGTGCTATTGTTCTGGTGTATTGTTATAAATCTCCCTTATTATCTGGTCGGCAATGGTAGAGTGATGGCTGGGCTATATAGACTTTTGGTCTAAAGAAGAGGACGCAGTAAGAGCTGTTGCCTTTGCCTCGTCTTTGGAGTGTCGTACACAGCTTTGAGAAACAACAGGGAAAGATCTGGGAAAAGAGGAAAGAGGTGTCGAAAAACGGCAGTTGGGTCTCAGGGTGTAATCAAGTACCATGCACTCATGCTTTGGAATGTTTCATGAGCTGAGTCAAATCACATGTTAAGATAAATATGTAGTTCCTCCTCTTACAACCTTATCTCTCCAGGCATGCTAGTCTTTTAAATGACGTAAGCCTGAGACATAAAACGTGCAAACTAGGTTGTGCTGTTTCCAAAATGTCCAAGTACAATGCAAAAGCAAGGAAGTTTGCCAAATGCAAATTAAAGCAGGCTCTTAGAATAAACCATCCTTTTCTCCCAAGGGTGAACAGTTTGTAGAGATGGCATCAGTCTCATCTAGCGAGGCCCTCGGTGGGATGTGTTGCTGAACAACATGCACAAGATTATGCTGTCAGAGTTTTAGAAGAAAGTTCTGCAGTGAGTAGGGAACATGCATCTGCACCAGAGATGGATAGTTGCAGCCTATTGTGGGTCTCTGCAAAATGGATATATATGAGAAACACAACTGTGCACATATTTTTACTTTTGTCACTCATAATTTCATTTAAAAAAAATCTCTTAATGAGATCAACAGAGAGTTCCCTTGGTATTTGGCATAATCTTTTGTGGACCACAGCCCACTCCAGTGGGAAGGTTAGGATATGCTTCCCATGAGTAATGTATCCAATGTGGAATTTAATATAAACAGTATCAAGATTATTTATTTATTTATTTATTTATTCATTCATTCATTCATTCATTCATTCATTTATTTATTTGCTTTTTATCCCACCCTTCTAGACAATGTCTACTCAGGGCGGCTTACAATACAATTTTTCATAAAACAGTTAAAACAACAATTAAATCAACAGTAAAGTATTAATCAAGGTGGGAAAATTAGTAGCTTCTGTGACACTGTCCAGCCATCTTGTCCTCTGTTGTCCCCTTCTCCTCTTGCCTTCACACTTTCCCAACATCAGGGTCTTTTCCAGGGAGTCTTCTCTTCTCATGAGATGGGCAAAGTATTATTAACAAAAAACTAATTAAGAAATAAAAGTCAAGTATTGGCAGGAGCCAAGTTTTTAATTGGTTCTTTAAAACACCCATCGAGAGTACCAGGCAGATCTCTGACAGCAGGCTGTTCCAAAGTCAAGGGGCCACTGCTGAGAAGGCCCACTTTCTTGTTCTTTCTTTCCGGGCCTCTCTCAGCGTTAGGCCCCTCCGCCGTCTTCCCTGGCTATAGCAAGTGATGCGAGTAGATCTAGGTGGGAGAAGGCGTTCCGCTAGATATCTAGGTCCTAAACTGTTTAGGGCTTTATATGTCATCATTAACACTTTGAAATCAATGCAGAAACGAATGGGCAGCCAATGCAAGGCAGCCAGAGTGGGAGAGATATGCTGGTGTTTTCTCGTCCTTATAAGTAGTCAGGCTGCTTCATTCTGCACCATTTGAACCTTCTGCATCAATCTCAAAGGTAGCCCCATGTACAGCGCATTATAGTGGTCTAATCTTGAGATTACAAGCATATGAACCAGAGTGGTGAGGGCCCCGCCATCAAGATAGGGACACAGCTGGGCAATCCGCCATAGGTCGTAATAGGCGGAGCGGACCACTGATGCCACCTGGGTTGCCATGGTAAGCACTGGATCCAGGTATACTTCCAAGCTGTAAACCTCACTCTTCGCGGTAAGAGTCACCCCCACAAAAAGAGAGGGAGTTTCTCAAACCATCAATGGATGGGCTGCCCACCCTCAGGACCTCTGTCTTGTCCAGGTTCAGCCTCCAGACATCACTGAAGGCACAGAACGGCATCCACTGAAGTAGGTGAAAAGGAGACGTAGAGCTGAGTGTCATCAGCATACTGATGGCATGAGACCCCACACCTCCTGATGACCCCACTCAGTGGCTTCATATATATATTTTAAACAGCACTGAGGAAATGATTGAGCCCTGTGGAACCCCACAATTGAGACTCCACGGGGCTGAAACTCTCTCCCCAAGCTGTACTCTCTGAGGACAGTCCTCCAAGTAAGATCGGAGCTAGGCAAACACCAGGCCACTGATTCCCAGCTCAGAGAGCCTCCCCAGGAGGATACCATGGTCGACGGTATCAAAGGCGGCTGAGATATCGAGGAGGACCAACAAGGACATTTTGCCCCCGTCAGCCTCCCTCAACAGGTCATCCAACAGTGTGACCAGTGCCGTTGAAGCCCGACTGGAATGGATCCAGGGCATTGGTTTCATCCAAAAGAGCCAGAAGCTGATTAGCCACCACCCTCTCCACCACTTTACTAAGGAAGGAAACATTGGCCCATTCAATTGTTATAGGCCTGGCTGCTTTGATTAGCCAGGCTGGGCAAGGGAGGAAGTGGTGGCCCGATAGTGATCAAGCACTTTGTTCACCATCTCTGGCGTCACAGGCTGAAAGAATTCAACTCTCACTGGGCAAGGCAGAGCGCTGAACATCCCTGCTCGATCTACTGCATTTTAAAAAGGAGAGAGGTCACAGCAGATGGCCTCCACTTTAGATTTTAAAAATGCTGCAAATTGGTCAGGTGAGATACTAGTAGGAGGGCCATCACTTAGACCAATTCTGGATAGATCATGATCTATACGGAAAAGTTCTGCCTGCTGATTTGAAGCTTTGCTTATCCAGTTAGTGAAGTACGCTCAACTGGCTGCCCTCACCTTAGCAAGGTAGAGGTTAGTCATGATCCTGACAGCTTTCCTATTATAATCCGTTGGTTCCTGTTTCCAGTTGCACTCTAGCCATCTCCTATTTCGCTTCATAGCTCTCAGATCCTGGTTACACCAAGACCCTGGCCAAGCTCTGAGCCGGAGAGGGCATTTAGGAGCAATTATGTCTACAGTCCTAGTGGCGGCAGCAAGCCAGCCATCAACCAGAGCCTCGACAGGAGCGCCAGACAGATCAGCTGGAATCCCTCTCATGATATCCTGGAATCGTGATTCAGTAACCTTCGAGGGTGGACCATTAAAATAGGTCCATGCTCCCCGCGGGACTCCAACAGTGCCGCAGAGACAAAGCGCGCCAGCTTCGGCAGGGAGGTGACTGGGTCGCGGAGAGCGTGGTAACCCAGCAAAATCCCAGTACCATCCCTGCCCCCAATCAACACGTTGAGGGCCTCCAGACCCGGCTATACCACCATATTGCACTTAGTAACCTCCAGAGTATTTTTTTATAAACAATGGCTACTCCCCCCCCACGCCTCCAGTCTACCCTGGTGCTGGACTGCATAACCAGGAGGACAGGCAAGGGTCAAGGGAACTCCCCCTTCCCTGCCCATCCAAGTTTTGGTTATGCACGCCAGGTCTGCATCTTCCTCCAGAATAAGATCTTGAATAATCTGGGATTTATTGGATACAGACCTGGCATTCAACAGCATCAGTTTTAGAGTGGAGGGCCAGCTGATCTGGCTACCTCGAGACTGGCAGGGGGTCACAGTGCCAGAACAGTGAACAGCCTTCAAACATCTGTTCACCGTTCTTCTAAAACGAGTGGGAACTGTGCCATCGCTATACCTCCCTCTATCCATAATCACTTGGATGTTAGAACCCTCGTTGGGGGGGGGCAAGCCTTCCAGTCCCTATCAAAAGAAAAAAAAAGGATACAGTAAATTATTGCAGTAAACAATAATAACAATAAAATTGATCAATAAAATTGATCCAACATTAAATAATAATACAAACTTAAACTATTATCAATTATCAAATTAATCAAATTATCAATTTGGGTAATTTATCTGATTAGCAATTTAAATAAAATTAAATTAAGCAGTTTAAATAAAATTTAACTTGATAGTTTAAATGAAATTTAAGTAGAAAAATATGCATTTATTTCAAAAATAAGTGAGATAAAGATAATAAAATAAAACAAACTAAAATAAATTAAGTAAAATATAACAAAAAGACAATTAAAAATAAATGAAAATAAACAGAAAATAATAATTGAAAATGATAAATTTCACAGCTGCTCTAAAAAGGTCATACTGATTACCACATAAATACACAAATTCTCAATACACACATGGGATGACTTTTTGAAGACATCCTATGCCAGAATTCTGTACAGTTAAAAGTTTACATTAATGCTTGCTGATGTTTCTCTGGTATGTCTCCTCTGGCATGATATTTGCGTCCCAGACATTCAACAAATGAGCTCTCTCTCCTTGTATATCTTTCCTAGTGATTGTTCCATGAAATGCATATGTCTTTGTGTGTTTTAATCAGCAGCCACAGTGCTTTTTATTTTTTATGTAATTTTTAATTTTTGAATGTGTTAATTCTGGTATAAACTTGTACAAGTAAGGCTGGAGTTCTTAACGTGCACTGGATTCACAAGAAATGTAAAGCCAGTGTAAGATTCACAACAAAATTCACAAGAATTTTTTGCACAGAGTGTGGAAAAAAGGGTTTTAAACTACCTGCAGTGCAGCTTTCATCGGGTGTTACACAGGGAGAAGAGAAGTGAGGGGCAGATGTACCCAACAGCTTAACAATTCAGCTGCCACAAATAGCCACTAAATGACAATGTTTTCAAGTCTCACAAGATAAAGAATAAGATCTCATCTGTAACACTGCTTAAGATGCAACAAAGCTAACCGTCAACAACAAAGAGGCCAAAATTGTTGAAAAAAGTGCTATTTTGGCAGAATTGGCTAAAAGCAGCAACTAGACTGGAACACCAGCCTAGGTTTTACAATCATACTATAAAGGTGAGAGACTGTGAAATCTTGCTCCTAGAATTTGTTTTTTTGTCACTGCCATGAATCAGCCAAAGAAAATAAGAAGTAAAAAATAATCAACGTGTACAATAATGTCTTTTTTATATACTTTTATGTACCTGTACTTTGATAACTCTTTCCATTCCATCAGCTAGCTTCCATGTTATAGGTGTAACTTCTAAATCTGAGATTCATTGCTTTTTAGATTAGATGTGAAATTCATGGTAATAAAGATCCCCTTTGCTGATTAAGTACCGGTACTGCTCTTATAGCAACATCTGAACAAAGGATATTGTGGCAGTGCAAAGGCATGGGTCTTAGCTGCTGGGCTGGAAAGAGCTCTCAGCTGCAGAACAGTAATGTCTTACAAAGCTGGTCCTTGGCAGTGAATTGGGGAGAAATGTGGTACGACTGAGCAGGATCAAAAACCAGTCTATATTCTGTCTTAAAATGTATCCAGCCACCAAAGAACTATCCACATTTATGTGCACTGTGTACCCCAGTTATTGTAATAAAATGCCTGGAATGTGTTTACTGTGGGTTATTTTGAGATGTAAAAGGGTTTTGTTTTGTTTTTTGGTAAACTTTGGGACAAGAGGTCGTGTGAGGTGAGCTCTTTAGAATGTGATGCTGTTGGTCTCCACAGGAGCTTTGTTACTATCAGCACGATGACCCCAGAAAAAAAGGAGCAGTCTCCTTTTGAAGACATGGAATCCGTATAGGACTTTGATATGATCCTGGGTTGTTTAACATGCTAATTCTAAACAATTTTAAAATTCCAATCCTAATTATATTTAGAGTTCATCCATGTGGAGAGCTTCTTCCTCCTCTCTTCCCTGCCCGAGGTTGGACATCACTACAACAGTATTGGCTATGGAAACAACTCTGAAAAATGATGTTGTGTCACAGCTAACCCAGTCTCTTAGGTTCTTCTCTTTCCTGCAGTTTGTTTCCCATTTATTTAACCTTAAATAACTAATCTAACAATGTATATTTTGTTGTTCATATAACCACAATGTTCTAGCTTTGTACTTTTAATTTTTGTTATGATTTCTTAATCATTCTTCTCTCACTTCAGTACAGTACTTCATTAGTCAGTCTTTCAATCCAATAAATTCTTAGCTTCCTGCAGTAAATCCACATTTCAAGCCCTTGTATTTCTTTTTTTCTACAGTTGCCACTATTAAACTTCACAGTTCTATACCACACAGCTACCTTAGGTCCACAAGTTGGGAGAATGGTGGGATATAAATGCAATTGTATATTTTTTGTTAATACATATTATATTCTTCATGTTAAGGAAGATGCTCTGGACCATTTCTATTCTAGCCTTTATTGTGTGATTGGAATTCCACTCTTCATTCAACCAAATTCCAAGGTAGTTTTCACAATACCTCCCATGGTTTCATTTGGGATTTCTTACTGTATTTCTTAAGCTGCTTGTTTTGTACTGACTACCACAAACTACCAGAAAGCAAGGGACGTGGTGGCGCTATGGGTTAAACCGCAGAAGCCTCTGTGCTGCAAGGTCAGAAGACCAGCAGTCGTAAGATCGAATCCACGCGATGGAGTGAGCTCCTGTTGCTTGTCCCAGTTCCTGCCAACCTAGCAGTTTGGAAGCATGTAAAAATGCGAGTAGATAAATAGGTAGCACCTTGGTGGGACGGTAACAGCGTCCCGTGTCTAGTCGTGCTGGCCACATGATCATGGAAACTGTCTTCAGACAAATGCTGGCTCTATGGCTTGGAAACGGGGATGAGCACCTAGAGTCGGACATGACTGGACTAAATGTCAAGGGGAACCTTTACCTTTACCCTTCCACAAACTTAGTTTCCTTAACATGCATTTTACCTTTTGTTTTTTTTAACTTACGTCATTAACTTTTACTGAGTAACTTTGCATCTAAATAGTCATTTCTAAATTGTATCATTTTCTTACTGGATAATTGACAATGATAACATCATTTATATCAACAAGTGCCTCTGTGAAGATGGTGTAGAAATGAAAAAGCAGCAGAGAGAGCATATAACCTTGTGGTAGCCTTCATGCCTCAATTTCCTCTGTCATCTGATCTTCAACTTTCATTTCAGCTTTTTGTTGCCAGTGTAGGTTGCCAATTTTACAGATATTTCCTGAGTCAAGATCTTACTTTACTAACAACTCCCATCAGCTTGCTGTTTTATACTTTCCTTATCAGAAACTGGGAAACTGTATAAGGTTTTATACATGTTTGGCAACAATGTAACTGGTTGTAAAATTATGTGTACCTTTTATAAAACTGACCTCCCACTGATTGCACATAAATGGCTATTCTGTAGTAAAAGACTTCAAGCTGTTTCTGCATACTTCAGGCATAGGTGGTCTTCCAGGTCAGTGCAGTACTAATTCAGTAAGTATATGAAGTACTGTCGTAGTATATGCATGCCAAATATTGCCTTGTAAAATATTTAGTCTTAAAGAAATTTATAACCACTGTAAGAGGAGTATTTAAAGCACATTTCAATATGACATTTAAAATCTCACCTCATATATTCTGAACTCCAATTTCCTTTAATGGTCATTTCTTGGCATCCTGTCTGCCTCTTTTTCCCCCCTATTTTCCTTTGCCCCATAATTTTACTCTGCATTTTATGTTTAATATATAATTTACTATATATGTAATAGTCATAGTTGACAACAGATGCACCGCCTTATAGTCCACCTTCTAATGGATTAATTCTAAACAGCTTTGCATATTAGCAGAATAAGTGCCACTGAGGACCCTTTTCTGAGGTGTGAAGTAACTTGCAATTTAGTTAAGAAAAGTTCCATCTGATTCTTATGAAATACTATTTTTATAAATTTTGAAATCTGGAAAAGGCAGATTAACAATTGCCAAAACTGCTTCAAAAATTAAAATGTTTTGATCATCACTATTCCATCCATTGTCTCATATTGCATCCAGTGCCCAGATATATGTCTACCAGCTGCTGATCCTTACCTGTTGCTGTTGGGAAATTAACTAAGAAGGTCCAGTTGTGTCTTCGTCTGGCCAGAGTGGAAAGGAAACATCTTTAGGGCTGTAATCCCAGACTCACCCCATCGTGGTGTGTGAATTCCATATGATGTAGTATTTTATGTGTCTCAGCATATGGGAAACATGTAAGCTTTCTTTGAATACTGTATTGGAATAGTGAGACACAGAAGTGTGACTTACTCATTAATCCACTTTTTTCCTTTAATGCCTGAGGTTACACTCAGCTTTGTACACACCCATTCCTCCCATAAATTAAGTAAAGGTTCTGTGTTTTTCTCATCTTGGATGCTGAGGGCCAACGTACGTATTATGCTGAAATTTGAAATTGTCATTGGATGTTGATCTTTTTCTTTTTTAAGCAAGTGCAAAAAGCAGACTCAGAGCTCCTGAGAAACATTGCCACAGTGAGGTGGGAAGGAATCCCTTTTGATTTGTTTAAAGAATAGTATCTAATAATAGTTTGCTGTAATACTGAAACTAGTATTTTTCTAGAAAGGGTCACCCATGCAGTAAGGTAAAGGTAAAGGTTCCCCTTGACAATTTTTGTCCAGTCGTGTCCGACTCTAGGGGGCGGTGCTCATCCCCGTTTCCAAGCCGCAGAGCCAACGTTTTGTCTGAAGACAATCTTCCGTGGTCACGTGGCCAGTGCGACTTAGACACGGAACGCTGTTACCTTCCCACCAAAGTGGTCCCTATTTATCTACTTGCATTTGCATGCTTTCGAACCGCTAGGTTGGCGGGAGCTGGGAGAAGCAACGGGAGCTCACTCCGTTGCGTGGATTCGATCTTACGACTGCTGGTCTTCTGACCCTGCAGCACAGGCTTCTGCGGTTTAGCCCGCAGCTCCACCACATCCCTACCCATGCAGTAGTTCAGCCAAAACCAATTCTTAGTCCCAGCTAGAGTAGCCCCATTGAATTAGTAGGCCAGAGGTTAGAGTTAGCTTAACAAGTTCAATGGCTGTAACATTTGGAATAAGCAAAATAAACAGTGATTATTTGTTTGTTCTGGGTGTTGCCCTCTATGGGAGGGTATGTCTAGTATGTCTTCTTTCTAAACATATTTGTTTGTAAAGGCTATTTCTCAGGTTTCATCATTGCAGCTTTGCCATTATTGCACCACATTACACTATTACTTCATACTTATTCTGAATACACTTATACATCTTCAGTATGTTTATTCTTATTCTTTCTCCTTGGAGTTGCCTGCCTGTACTATCATGATGCCATGTCGGTAAAATGACATGGAAGTCATGACCAACCCTAGCATATGGCTGAAGACCCCAATGTCAGGTTCTTAACGCATGATGTGTTTGACTCATTGGCCAGAATTCTGTATGCTGCTATTAACATAAAGTTATGCAGACATAATTTTGCCAGGTGTTCTGCCTAGGCAGCAAGGATTGTGTAAGTCGATTATGCAAGCTGTTGGGGGGATCCTGTCACAATTGAATTCACAATGCACATGCAGAAATCATTCATGAGTAGCACTTTCACCTTGGTTGTTATTGCTGCTGCATGTGTAATGACAGGTTACACAAGTGTAGCTACACATCAGGATTTCAGCCACTGTGTGCTTTCCTTGATACTGTGATGACATGATTACGCAATGGAAAAGGAAGCAAAATATTATCTTGAATTATCATAACCGCCTCTTCCTGCAGTGGGCCAATGTCCACAGAAAGGAAGTGAGTATGCGTGCCTGGTGAGCATATTCTACTGTATATAATACCTGAATATGGCTACAATTTTGAATGTAGTATGCAGAATTCTGTTAAGAGCCTTTATGAAAACAGTATGTTTACTTCAGAAAGTTGCCATCCACTTGTGGAGGCCAAAGGAAATGTGAGAGGAACGGAATCTGTTCAGTCTTCTCCCAACCTAGTGCATTTAATCTACAAAGTTTAATAACACTTTAGGAGGTCTTTTGAGATATTAGACATCATTAAATCCCTGCCAACATTTCTCAGACTATCCAGAGGTTTCAATTGATTAGTTGTCCAGTTAAGTTTCCTTTGTATTCAGAGAAAATCTCCCTTTTGGCAAACAAGTAGAGGCAGCAACTACTTTTTAAATGCAGATAAAAAAAGGGTAAACCAATTCCAGCAATTGTCCAAATATATATTCACATATGAAAACCAAATTATAAAGTTTGGGCTTCATAGCAGAACTCATTCATCTGAACAGTTGCAATACTATGCTTACTGTTTTTGAAGTGCTGCATCTCACCTGCAGGACCAAACTATCTTTCAGACACATGGTATTTCACCTTAAATACTGACTTCTTGAGGAGAGGAAGAATAGGCCACACGTTACAGAATTGGACAGAGGTCTATTGCAGTAGGAAAGCCAGCTGCTTTTGTTTCTTACTTCCTGATTACTTCTATTTTCCATTTACAACTGAGTATACTCTTGGGTATTTGCTGATTTACTCTGTCTTCTGAATGTATTCCTATTACAGTGGTGCCTCGCTAGAGTTACCCTGTATGACAGTTTTTTTCGCTAGACATTGACTTTTTGCGATCGCTATAGCGATTCGCAAAACTGTGATTCCTATGGGGGAATTTCGCTGGACAATGTTTGGTCCCTGCTTCGCAAACCAATTTTCATTAGACAACTATTTCGACAGCTCCCTCCATGCTCGCAAAATGGGTGTTTTCGGGACCTAAGCTTCGCTAGACAGCTATTTAAACTGATCGACGGTTCACAAAGCGGCTTTCCTATGGGCGATCTTTGCTAAACAACGATGATTCATCCCCATTGGAATGCATTAAACAGATTTCAATGCATTCCAATGGGGAAATGCTTTTCGCTAGATGATGATTTCGCTAAACAGCGATTTAAGTGGAACGGATTATCATCGTCTAGCGAGGCACCACTGTATCTATCTGTATAATATAATTAAACACATATTAGTTATTTGTGATTTATAAGTGGTACAATATGGGGCCAGCGGTGGGGTATCTTTTTAAAACCAGGAGCTTATTTAGGAAGAACATAAATACTGCATTTCATGACTGGACGATACAAAGGGTATCCAGCAGGGCCAACATAAAATAGACAAAACCAGTGTAGATTCCTACCAGTTTGGACATTTTCCCAAGCATGCAAAGCCCTGCTCTGTTCTTTATCTGTTGAGGAATGAAACTCAATGCAGCATCTTCCTGGACTTCAAAGTTTAGTTAAGTTCCATGCAACAGCTTTCTAGACATTTGATACCCTTTGGTATCCAGATTATGGTCAGAGATAACAGCAAAAAAAGATTGCAGCTGAACAGAATTGCCTGCCTCTGCTTGAAAAAGATACATAAATACTTTAAAGCTGAATGAGAGAGATGAGAAATCCTCCCACCACCACCACCCCATCACAAGAGACAATCTGGGTGAAAGACTGAAGAGAGAATAATGTAAGCATTGTCTTGAGAAATGTGGAGCTAACATAAATGGGAACAGGGAGAGCAGAATCCTAAAGAAAAGTCACAGATGAAGGAAATTAAACTAGTAAGAATTAGGTGAAACTAGGTGGGAAACCATCTATGTGTTGCTGTCAGATTTGCAGTGAATCCTCTTGTGCATATGCAGAGATTGTCTATGGGCCATATTTTTGTTTATTTTTTATTTAGCTTTGCAAATCCTGTACTTCTTTACAATATAGTTTTGAAATGCCGACATGTATCACAAAGTGCAGTTTAAAATATTTATCTTAAAGTGAGTGGAGGAGCATATATGTTTGCACAGATGTGTCACATACCTTCTCTATTATGGTGCCATGTGGGCATGCAAGCATGACAGTACAGACAGTACATGTGAAGTACAGTACTCTTCTGTATCTTACAGAGATAACTCTATTACATCTATTACATTTGACAGGCTCTGTAGCTATAAGATCACTTTTTCTTTTTCTTTTTTTTCTTTATTTGTATCAGCTTTGCACAATTTAAAATTATGGACATATATGAAATATAGGTAAAATTTAAAACAAATTAAAATGTTATGATAATTAGACTACTTTTGACCAGAAGCAGGCTACTTCAATTGTTTTATCTCAGCCATTTACTAAAGTGTGTTAAGTGAGTTGCTTATATACCGCACCATAGCACTTAAAGCACTGTCTAGGCAGTTTACAATTTAATTGTTGAGTTAATTATACAATTTAATAATTAATTAAGCTTCACATTGCTTACTCCCATAAGCTGGGTACTCAGTTCACCAGCCTCAGAAGGATGGAAGGCTGAGTCAACCTTGAGCCACCTACCTGAGTCTGTCAGGATCAAACTCAGGTTGTGAGCAGAGTCTTAACAGTGCCACAAGGCTCAGTGATTACTAAATCTTCTTTCATACGTATGGTGGGGCACAAATTATATGCACGGAAGTGTTGAATTGATTTAATTTTTCCACAGTCACAGAAAATGTATGCTTGTCCAAGTGGCCTCATTTTACTTGATTATTCTTTGATCTTCCTACTTAAAGTATATTAAAACATTATAAAAAAACAGAGAGAGAAATTTTTGCCACTTTGGCAGTTTCTGGTCATCCTAGCTAACCGAACCAGGTTGGATAGCGCAGAGTTCAATGCTACGATTTTTTCCAGGGGAAAAATGGCTCTTCTAAACCAGAGATTGACTAGCTTTAATGAGTTCTACCCATTTGCTAATAACTGTGTGAGTAGCAGCAGGGTAGCTGCCCTCTGGAAAATTAGTGGCCTAGCTGTCTGTCAGACACTGCTGTTATTCGAGCTCAGATAATCCCCTGGCCAGCATGGCCAGCAGTGTGTGTTCATATAAAAAGGGAATTATTTTTAGATATTTAATTTCTTGATGATAATACATACATACAGTACAGTGGTGCCTCGCAAGACGATTGCTGTGCATAATGATGAATTCGCTTTACAATGAGGTTTTCGGAGCGATCTTGCGCTTTGTTTAACGATGTTTCCTATGGGAGACTTTCACTTTACAATGTTAGGGACCTTGCCTCGCAAGACGGTTAAATTTTACGTCCCTGTTTTTTGCTTTACGGTGTTTTTGACAGCTTGGTCTTGCTTCGCTATACGAGTCTTTTAATAGTCTCTGTTTCGTTAGACGGCTGTCTTCGCTTGGGAACCGCGTTTCGCTTAACGATGTTTCCTATGGCAATTTTCGCTTTACGATGACAATCCGTTCCCATTGGAATGGATTATCAGGTTTTCAATGCATTTCAATGGGAAAACATGTTTCGCAAGACAATGTTTTCACTTAACAGCGATTTTCACGGAACGAATTAACATCGTCTTGCGAGGTACCACTGTATAAACTTTGTTTCTGGCCATAGACCTTTACAATGTACTGACTACTGTAGCATATAAAATCCAATTAAAACAGGTCATTACCTTAAAACATATTACTGTACTACAGAATATTTATATTGTGACCAGTCCTTGCATGTACTGTATTTCATTTTCTGCCATTTCACAGAGTTGGGCAATAAGAATAATTTCACAGTATCCCTTGTTACATGTTTTGGGGGATAAAACAGTGAAGCATCTTTTGGTACCTTAATGATTAATGGGTTTCAGCACACTAGAGTCCAATAGGGTTATTTCAGATAAAATAACTAATCCTATGTCTAAGCTCACTGAATTTCAGATGTTCTGCTTTTACAGGGTATTATAGGAATCCTGATAAGTAGATAAACCAATAACAGTTTTTTTAGGTAAAGGTAAAGGTTCCCCTTGACAATTTTTGTCCAGTCATGTTCGACTCTAGGGGGCGGTGCTCATCCCCGTTTCCAAGCCATAGAGCCAGTGTTTGTTTGAAGACAATCTTCCGTGGTCACATGGCCAGTGCGACTTAGACACGGAATGCTGTTACTTTCCCACCAAAGTGGTCCCTATTTCTCTACTTGCATTTGCATGCTTTCAAACCGCTAGGTTGGC